GCCTTTCTTGGGAAAAAAGAAAAAAAAGAGAGACTCACCAAGTCAAGTGTTCTACACTTAAAAAAATTAAAGCGTTGTGCTGACCAGGCATGACAGCTAATGGGACAGTATTAAGCAAGATTCATCAACAAATACTAACAACCCTCCCACCCCACCCAAGTCTACCTAACATGCTAGTTAAAAACATCCCTGACCTACCCCACCCTCTCACCTGCATTGATTTTAAGGGAAAAGAAAAAAAAAAAGAAACCTGGCCACCCTAACAACAACAAAACCCTAGAAATATGGAAAATCTTCCTCTGAAGGAAAACAACTACACAGAAACATAAAGAACTACCACAGAGCTGGTTATTAAAGAAGTAAACACTTGGCCACACACGTGAACATTCAGTCAGTATGCTCTGAGATAGAGCCTTAAGAAAGACTACCTGAGCTTGTAAGTTAATACAATCATTAAAAGGAGGTCTAAGACCACGTGGAGACACAACACTTTTAGAACCATTACTGGTTAAATGATGATGGAAAACTTCCCACCAGGCTGGCTAGTTTAACCCGTAAGATCAGTTTTAAAAATAGACATCACTGAGGTGTTTCTTCAAGATGACATTAATAAACCCAACGGATAAGCACAGTGGTCTTAGAACCCTCTCTTCCAACCAAAACAAAATTTAGCTAGGGGAAGAAGAGGCAGGAGGGTGGGTAAGTATATCCTGGTCATGTGCTTCTCGGCTTTATCAAGTATTTAATAAACAGGCAAAGGAAAAAGAAACCCGTCCACCATGTCACCTCCAGGAAAAGCAAAATAAAAGACAGCGCGCAAGAGTAACACAGCTCCCCAGTTACTGCCCAGTGACAAGTGTCCTACTGGGTCCAGGAAATCTACAATCACCAAGTCTAAAGGATTCTTTTTCCCTTCAAATAGTCGATGTTTCCAACAACCAGACCCTTAGCACTGCTCCTGAAAGGATATATCTGCAGACATTCACAATATAGATAAAATATTTTTCTCTTGAAGAGAGAGACCTAAAGGTCTTTATTTGCAATTAAGTCCTCACACAGGTCAGATTAACCAGTAGTTTCATAATACTGAACGTGATCGTGGTGCACACACTTCTTTATTGGGGGGGAAAGCCAGATTGGTAAGAACCACTTGGATTTACAACCACACCTGCCTGAGTATAGGAATATTTGGTTTCAAAGTTTCTCTTTCAAGGCCAGACGTTTCTCCTAGGAGAAACCAACTCTGGATTTACAGAAATGGTTTCTTCTAGAAGTAGTCCCACGCTCCCCAGTGGATTAATACTATTCTCCTCTGAGACTTATCAGATGATCAGGTGAGGTAGAAGACTTTCGCCGAAGTGAGGTAGAAACAAAATACAGCACTCGGAGTGGTGTGTAGTGGGGTGTGTGTGTGTGTGTGTGTAGTGGTGTGTGTGTGTGTGTGCGCGTGTGTAGTGGTGTGTGTGTATGTTGTGCCCCTGGCCGCAGGGGGCCTCAGGAGGCCCCGGCCCTACAATACCATCACATGCAAGTACAAGAGCTTGACTTTTATACAGCCCCGGACTGTGGAAAACTCAATTTAAGAGTGGTGTTTTAAATAAATACCCTAGATACTTTTTGGCACCATTGGATTTTTTCTTTTTTTAAAAAAACAACAGAAAAACAAGCCTAACTTTGGCATATCTTTTGCTATCTACCAGAACACAGCAATCTTAGACTCTTCCAAAGAGGAAGACACATATACAGACAGTATTCTGCTGCTTCAAGCCTAAGTCTTCCCCCTGCAGATCATTAAGCTTTGGCTTAACCAGAATAAAACAGACTGAGCCAATCTCAAGCTATGCTCCTACAACTCCATCCCAAAGTGCCTTCTTCTAGCAACTGTTTTGGCGGACCACGTAACTCAGGTTCTGTTTATGGTACCCTTGCAAGTGTTTCCCTAAATAAGTTAGACTTAAAAGGGCATCAATGGAGGAGTCGGTGCCCTTCATGTACTGCCCGGGCCACAGGCCTCCAGCCAACTCCCCTGCCTTCCACCAGCTGTCACGGAGACTGCTTCTCCAGACTGAATTTCCAGAGAAATGACTTTTTTAAGATAGCACTTTTGAATTGTTGCAAAGTCCGTGTCCACCAAAAGTGGGTTTTATCTACGGGTTATTTAGAAATCCTGTAGCCATATCAATTCTGAAACTTATATACCTAAATCCAACTGTCATCTCTAAACCTCCCAACCTCTGACTCCACCGGACCAGATCAGGATGCTATGGGGATGGCTGTTTAGAAATCATTTACCATCTGGAAACATTTCCACCTTCTCCCTCATAGCACCCAGAACCTTATCTTCTGACTGTGTCGAAGGTTCCCCTTTGGTCCAACCCCTTCTCACCTTGGTTAGGGTCACCTCATCCTGGGGAGAGATGCATTTAAATGCATGTGTTTTTAACAGCCTCACACAAGGGAGTACCAAATGCTGGCTTTCCCCATCTTTTCTTTGACTTGGAGTACCCCATTGTATAATAAATACTCTCCAAAGTGCTTTGCACCAATCCCTGTGGGTCAGGAGTCAAGCGTGGGCAGCCACAGATGGCATGTGTTTTAAAAGCAAATGCTTCCCAAATGCAACCAGGTTTCTCCAAGTCCAGTCATGCACCACTGTTAAGGACTGAGAGGTACCCTCACTGTCAGGAAATGAACCTCTGACTTACTCAGAGCCTGTAAATTGGTCAGTCTTTATTAAGACCTGATTATTCCTGGCATGGAGTGAAAAGTCTGGCTTTACAACCAAATCTACAGTAAAATGTGGAGGTGAATGAACAGTTTTAGTTCCTGCTATCCATCGAGAGAATGTCTCACTTAGGTCCTAAGATTTCCCCACAAGTGAAGAAACTGGGAAGGAAAGAGTAAAAATGAAGACAGAAGAACCAAAGGTAAGCGACTCACTGAAATAATAACTTATCCCAGCCACGACCATGCCCTGTGTTTCTGAAAACGTTTCTAAGAAAAAGAACTACAAAGGTCCATTCCCTCAATAAAAGTTTTTTTTTTTTTTAAACAGTATCTGAAACCAATCATCTTTGGTGTTTAAAGGGTGATTTGTTGGCTGGTTAGTAGAGGGAAGGATTAGCACCTAGTTACTCCAAAATAACAAACAGTAAAAAATGTTTCCATGATGTGAACTCATTTCCAAAGATTCAGAACATGGGGGGATGGAGGAAAGGGCAGGCAAAATAAAGGGCAACTTCACAGGAACTGGGGAAGGAGTCACTATTAAATTCTTTAGTAAAAGAAAAATCACTTTTACCAAACCAGATACCTTAACGCCTCCCCACCCTGTAACCATGCAGCCGAAGGCAGCCTTTGAAGCTACTTTCCAATTTTTGGATCCTTCATTGCGTACAGTTCTCATTTGTGAAATGAGTTTTTTCCCATTTTTGTCACTCGGAAATATCTAAAATTTAAAGCAATGGGAAGAAGACAGGGTACCTTGAAGGGGCAAATTAATTGCCCAAAAGAGATGGATGGGAGAAGCAATTTGATTGACTCTTCACAATCCCCCACGCCACCTCTTCTTCTTTTGGACGACAAAAGCAAATTGCTTTATTCTGCTCATTTAAAACTACGTCCATTTTGCAGCAGGAATTTCACCTAAACACAGGATCAGAAATGGATCCTTAGTCTTTCCGTTTCCACAAGAAGTCTCCCTGTAAGCCATGGACGTTGGAGAGGACTCCTTTTCCTGAGTGCTACTCTGCATTACGGTTCTTATGTCAGTGTTGGGGGCAACGAAGGGACCCATCTGGGTTCTGACAAGCAGGCTTACCAGCCACACCTGCTTCTTTCCACCTGAAAGACAGCCAACACCCAGACGCACAAGGTCTCTGCACCCAAGTCCAGCTCACAACCAACCAACCCTGTAAAGTGACACCGACGCCATCCCACGGTTCTGCAGTGGGACCCTGGCTTCAGTTTTCATTCTTTGGTACCGAGGTATAAGTTTAAGAAAACGTATCATGTCCTGCATTTCAGATCGAGGTGATTTGGTTTACAAATCCTTTTACATTCAAAGGCCCTGCGGGGTGGAAATCCAAAGTAACCAGCAGCCCGGGCACAGACCGTTCTGTAAAAGTGGTCCGGGCAACAGTTGTGGGGATGAGCTGTTCTCGTTAATGCGACTTGCAAACATTTTATTTCCCTGAACTTCCAAAGCAGTAAAAAATTGTGCTTTTAAAATAAAAGTTCATTCTTCTGCTGACTCTCCTATAGCACTACAGAACAACATTCAGTCTTGGGTTGGGGACTGAAACCCCGTTTCCTGCAGAGTCCCTGGTTTGGGGGTGGCCTTGCTTCTCTCTTGCACTCTACCTATGATTCCAGCAAACACATGTCCGCACACACTAGCCCGTGTCTGAAACCCTCTCTCGAGAATGAGGTTCATTTTAACCCCTCCTTCCACTGAACTCTTTATAACTAACAGGAAAACTATCCTTAACATTTTTGAGAATCAAAACTCCCACACTACATCCAATATTTTTAAACAAATCAAAATGTGATTAAAAAAACGGGGGGTGGATTTCTTGGACAGTGCTGTGTCCTTTTCAGTTTTACTATTTCAGAGCAAGATCGCACACTGACACGCACACACGCGGATAAACACATCCTCCCTCCCTTAAAAAAAAAAGAAGAAGCAAAAATTACATATCCTAAAATATGAATGGTCTGCTTTTCCTGGCTAGCAAGCCACTACCACATGTTCTAGGAATAAGCAAATATTCTGAGAAGGATGTTAAACACACTGAGGTATATATAAAAGGAGAACACCAGAAAGTTCTCTCGCAGCACTTTCAAAAAAAAAAAAAAAAAAAATTTCTTCCCCCCACAAAGATCAAGACCACAGAATACAATCTAACCCCACATTAACACACTATGCGCAAGAACACAAAATATCATTATGCATTTTAAATCCTATTTTTCCATGTTTTATAGTTTTTTTCTCCCCCCCCCGTAGTATTTTTGTGTTTCCTTGGCTCAATCTACAGAATACACCCACCAAACCCATCCAGTGCCCTCCCAGCCTTACAGATACCAGGCTTGTGCATATCACGCCCCCACGTGGGCCAAGAGGGAAATATGAGCCCCACTGAGGGGCAGCGGGAGGGGGCCGAGGGCCTGCTGGAGAAGGAAATGTAAAGGTTTATGAGGTAGATAGAAATTATCACTTCACAGGCTCCATCCCTGCAGAAAAGATAAGTACATTCATCTGTAAAAAAATAAAGATGAGGTAGGACTTAAGCAATGTTGTACTTTTCTTGTTCTCTTTTAAAATAAGAAAAAAAAAGAAAGAAAGAAAGAAAGAAATTTCCCTGAGACGGTTTCTTCTTTGAAATTCAAAAAGAGAGAGTGAGAGAGAGACGCACACACGGACACCCCACACAGAGAAGCCTAGAAACTCGATTAGAAGATGAGGATTCGATTGTTGCCGAAGTCCACCACGACGATCATCCCGTCGGGGGTGACAGCGATGCCTGAGGGGCGGTCCATCTGCCCAAAGCCACTGCCCTGGGCGCCGAACTTGCACAGGAAGCTGCCGTTGGACTCGAACATCTGTACCCGGTGGTTCCTGGAGTCGGCCACGATGATGCGCCCCTCCTGGTCTACAGCCACACCCTGCGGACGCAGGAACTGCCCGTTGCCAGTACCCTCGGAGCCCAGGAAGCGTGCCGACTGGCAGTCGGGGTGGATGACAAGCAGGCGGTGGTTGTTGAAGTCGGTGACCACCAGGTGGCCCTCGTGGTTGAAGGCCACCCCTCGTGGGGAGTCAAAGTGCTTCCAGAGAGCCCCCTCAAAGCCGTACTTATTCAGGAAGACCCCATCGGGCCCAAATAGCTGGATCCGGTGGTTCCGTGTATCTGAGACCAGGATCTTACCCTCGGTATTCACCGCCACATCCCAAGGGTAGTTGAACTGCCCGTTCTTGGTTCCTTTCTCGCCGAACTTGAGGAGGAACTGGCCCTCAAAGGTGAAGATCTGGATGCGATGATTGTCCTTGTCCGCCACCACGATCCTGCGTGAGGCGTCGCAGGCCACCCCGGCGGGCCGGTCAAACTGCCCGGGCCGGGAGCCCAGGGTGCCAAACTTGTGGTGGAAGGCTCCGCAGGGCTTGAATACCTGGATGCGGTTGTTGCTGCGGTCGGCGACAATGATGTAGCCCTCCTTGTCCACGCTCACACCCCACGGGCGGCACAGCTTGCCGTCGCTGTCACCCTCGCTGCCAAAACTCAGGCCCGGGAGCCCGATGCCCACGTAGCTGCGGCCCGACTTGACGACCACCTTGAAGGGGCTGTTTTCGATGTGCTGGTTGCACAGGGTGACGGACACCAGATGTTCACCCTCCAGCTGGGGCCGGTAGCTCACCACGTAAGTCCCGTTCTGCTGATCGTTCACCTCTGCACCAAACAGGTTGCCGTCGGGGCCCAGGACCACGGCAGACATCAGGTCGCCCCCCGAGAGGCGGGGCTCCCCATCGTGGTCATAGCCAATGACAGTGAAGGAGGCCACCTTACCCTGGAGGGCCCGCTTGAGGCCATCACCTGTGGCCTTGGTGAGGGGTGCGAAGGCCCCACTGCTGACGAAGCCGAAGGATTTGATGGCGAGGTAGAGGGCCTGGTCGGGCGGCGTGAACATGACCCGATCGTCTTCCTGGGGCTGCAGCAGGCTGCGCACGGTCTTCAGCTCCTGCACCTGGGCCAGCATGCGGTCTCGGGCCAGGAGGATGTCCAGCGCCCTGCCCTCCTCCAGGACCTGCTGGACGGCACTGATGGTGCTCTCGAGCTTGTTGAGGTTTTGCCGCAGCTTTTCCACCTGCAGGTACAGGGACTTGGCTTTCACCTGGCGGATCTTCTCTACCTGGAGGGAAAGGTGGGGGCAGGGAGAGAGAAGACAGCAGCTTAGAACCAAGCACAGACAAAGGCATGGAACCCAAATCTGATCGGGAGGATAAACCCATATGGAGGGACAGTGAGGAACTGCACTCCTCAAAAACGGCAAAACAAAAAAGGCAAAGAAAGGCTGAGCAAGAAGGTCCGGTTGAAAGGAAACTACAGAGACACAAGAACTACAGGTACTGGGTGATCCTGGATCGATCCTGGGCTGGGGGGGGGGGGAACAGCTAGAAAAAAAGACTATTAGGGCTATTGGTGAAATGTTTATGGACTGTGGATTAGATACTAGTATCGAATCAATATTAAATTCCTGGATTTGATTATGTAACAGAATTTCTTTGTTCGTTAGAAGTAACCACTATGACATATACAGGGGTGAAGGGATAATGTGTCTCCAGCTTATTCTCAAATCACATGCGTACATATATAAACACAGAAAACGAGAGGGCAAACGGGGCAAAATACAAACAACTGGCGAATCTGGATGAAGGGTCTATGAAGCTCTTTGTATTATTCCCGTAACTTTTCTGTAAATTAGAGATCACGTTATAAAAGAGTTAAATTCAGCCATCTGTATTATTCCCATAACCTTTCTGTAAATTAAGAGATCACGTTATAAAAACAGTTAAATTCAGCCATCTGTATTATTCCCGTAACTTTTCTGTAAATTAGAGATCATGTTATAAAACAGTTAAATTCAGCCATCTGTATTATTCCTGTAACTTTTCTGTAAATTAGAGATCATGTTATAAAAACAGTTAAATTCAGCCATCTGTATTATTCCCATAACTTTCCTGTAAATTAGAGATCATGTTATAAAACAGTCAAATTCAGTCATCAGGCCCATGTTTCTGAGTACCTTTGAGCCAGGCACTGCAGGTACAGCCGTGACCAACACATACAAATAAGGTCCCTGCCCTCCTAGAGCTTATATTTAAAAATGACACATATTAAACAAACAAATACCAGAAGATAATTTCAGACACACTAAGTGTAGAAAGAGGAAGGCAGTGACTAGGGAGGCCTAGTTTAGACGAGCTGTCAGGGACGACATCTTTCAAGAGGGGGACCTGCAGGGTGCAGACAAGCAAAGGGTCCCAAGCAGGGGGAAGCGTGCAGGTCCTGAGGTGGGCACGTGCTTGCATGAAACAAAACCACACAGTTTTACACAGGGGAGTGGTATGCAGGGATTTATCTTCTTCCGCCATCAGCTACATGGAACGTGGAGGGACAAGTGAGGTAAGGGAAGATGCGGCTGAAAAACAGAGGCAGAGAGAAAAGTGAGCGGACGCTGGGAGCAGAGCCAGCAGGACTTCTCTATGAAGTGGATTACAAAGCCAGTCTTGCGCCAGACAAGGAGCCTGAACCCTCATGGCATGCACATGCACGCACGCATGCACGCAAGAGGGAGAAAGGTTGTGTGTGCAGAGAATAAGGGGAATTGGTGAGAGCTAAATCCAGATTACACACCCCAACCCCCTAGTCTCCTCTCTTCACTTCTGTACTGAAGAACAGCTTTCAGAAACTTCAACTAAAGAGTACTGTGGACTACAATGAGCACACATTTCCCCTTTCTGGTGAATTTATACCTGTTCTGAAGGATTTAAGAAGCCCTGGCGGTGCAGTGGTAAAGAGCTATGGCTGCTAACCAAAAGGTCGGCAGTTTGAATCCACTAGCCACTCCTTGGAAGCCCTATGGGGCAGTTCTACTCTGTCCTATAGGGTCACCATGAGTCGGAATCCACTTGATGGCAATGGGTTTTGGTGGCGTGGTGGTTAAAAAGCACCCAGCTGCTAACCCAAGGGTCGCCAGTTCTAACCCACCAGCTGCTCTGTGGAGGAAAAGATGTGACAGTCTGCTTCCGTACAGATTTACAGCCTTGGAAATGCTCTGGGGCAGCTCTACTTTGTCATATAGGGTCACCATGAGTTGGAATTGACAGCAGTGGGTTTGGGTTAAGGATTTACAGAATATTTTACCTCCCCCTCCCTCAAACTGCCCTAGAATCTCAGAGCTAAAGAAAAAGGGAAAGACGCTGGAAGGATGACAGAGATGCAACAGCTGAGGTTGGCAGGTGATCTTGGTGGAAAGATCTAGGATGTCACAGAGTCATAAAAACAAAGACCAGCAAGGCTCCTGGTTGGCTAAGTGGAAACGGATAAGGTACTTCTCAGTGACAAGGCTGTTTCCCATTACTTTAATAACCACAGCTTTCCCGGCCCCCACGCCCTAACTCATCACCGTGGAAGGAGTTGAGATGAGATCCCACCCTAGGTCTTGCCCATGGACAGACTAAAGAGAGTCTGAACTGAGGCAAAGTTGTGTGTTTAAAGGATTACGATATGGGGTACAATATTCCATGAGCTCACAACTCCAGGAACACAAATCAGCTGTTCAACCTATAAAACTCTTCACCCAGACTGGTGAGTGACATCGCAACAGATGTTATGACTACATTCCAGAAAGACAGAAACCACCTCCAATGTGAACAAAGGAGTGAGGACCTAGGAGCTGCCAATCACCATGGTAGCACTAGGAACATTACAGAAGCCCGATGTAACATGTGAAAGCTAACCCGTATTGGTAAGACAATTTTCGGTATTTTTCTATGATCCTACAGCCAAGAATGGTTCCATGAGGTCCAATGAAAAGAATGGAAGCAACCAAGCCAGAACATCTAGATTCAAATCCTTGCCTATGAAAGGTAATGGGCCTACCTTTGTGATTCTCAACTGACTGAGCAGATTCACCTGTGGTGTGTTTATAAAATCAAGATGCCCAGAAATACTGGGTCAAAAGCTCCAGGTGTACAGCCCAGATAACTGAACCCGCCACCCTCCACACACACGCACACACACACACAATTGTGAGACTGGCAAGTTTTTCACAACTGCTGGCCTTATCATTTCCAAAGAAGCTCTCTAAATATACAATGCTATGATATATACACATGGGCTCTCATCTGGCTACACTATTTGGGAAAATGGCATTTTGTCTGGTCAATAAAACAGAGCAACTTTTCAACTCTCTTGCATTAAGTAAATATATAACCTCCCCCCGCCCCATTTTGTGTTATTTTGCAGAGACCATGGTTTCTTCTGTGTGCTCTGTCGATTTGAAAGCCACAGCAAGTCTATTTTGGAATAAGGATGCACTGTCGGTAGGCTTCTATTGCAAGCAGATTCCCTTGGGTGATGATGGCTGTGATTTTGACCCATTCATATTTTTCCATCAGTTCACTCTGGAACCAGAGCATGTGTGTGTGCATGCACACGTGTGTGTGCACGGAGAGACCTGTGTGGTAGCAGAGGAAAAGCTTTGTCCTTTGGTCCTGATCCCTGAATTACTGTTGTGTGTCGTTGATTCCGACGCATAGTGACCCCACGTGACAAAGTAGAAGAAATGCCCCATAGGTGGCATGATTTATTTATATACAAGCTTTAGTTGTTCCTGAAAAGCTGAGATTGATTTAGCCAAGGCAGTATTCCTGGGCTGTAAACTGGAGTGGAATGAAGCCATGGTGGCACAGTAGATGTGTCTGTCTGCTATCCAGAAGATTAGCAGTCTGAACCCACTGGCTGCTTCCTGGAAACCCTAGGAGGCAGTTTTACTCCGTCCTATAGGGTTATTATGAGTTGGAATCGACTTGATGGCAACGGGGTTTTCTTTTTTCAAATCTTTACAGAAGCAGATCACCAGGTCTTTCTCCCACAGAGCCCCTGGGTGGGTTCAAACCGCCAACTTTTCAGTTAGTAGCTGAGTGCTTAACTGTTGTGCTACAGGGTTCCTTAGTGATTGGTCACCCTGAACCTAGGTGGTACAATTAATCCCCCAGGGGAGCTGAGTCCACTGGAAACTTCTAAGCCACAAGAATTCAGAGGCGATACTTGACAAATGAAAAATTAGTCCTTGTACTCATGGTCTTCTCTGCAAAATGAAATGAAATAGTGGGGTAACTTGTTTATTCCCTTTACTTAAAACCCACTGCCATCAAGTCGATTCCAACTCATAGCGACGCTATAGGACAGAGTAGAACTGTCTCATAGGGGTTCCAAGGAGCGGCTGGTGGATTTGAACTGCTGACCTTTTGGTTAGCAGCCAAGCTCTTAACCACTATCCCTTTGGAGAGTGAGATTAAAAGGGGGGGATTTTATTTATTTAATGCAATTGGGAGTACGAGAAAAAACAAAATTAATGTAACAGAGGAGTCCAGAAAGACGCAGCAGAAAGGCTTTGCCAGAAGGGAATGAAGAAATTACTAATTAGTCAGAGACAGGGACCCCCACAGGACTTGGGGTGAGGTCTCACAGCAAAAAGTAAAGATAAACGGGACTGAGGTGTGTCCACAAAAAGCAGATGTGTTTTGGAATGGAATTACCTGAGAATAATTTCTGTAGGCAAGTAGAAACAGTTTGACTGTTTTTGCCAAACATGCTTCTCCTAGAGTAAAGTAAAAACCTGGTTTCTATTCCTCCTGAAAGAGAACTCCCTTCCCTTTAGAGAGAGGACATGAGTCAGCCTCCCATGAGGGAGGGGAACTGAGGTGAGATCTGCAGAAACCCCCACACACAAAGGCCCTTTCATCAGCAAATCCAGAAGAGCCAGTCTGTGGTGACCTCACCTCAGGGTTCTCAAGCTGCAGCAGTGGCCCCCTCTCAGTTATAATTAACATTCGTGGGTGGCACGTGAGTGACACAGCAGACCACGGGGGCATCCGTGTGTCTGCAAACAACCTTGGGTCCACCACAGTGCTCAAGAAGTACGTGCTGAGTTAAACCTGGGACGTTTTCCCCTTAGAGACTCTTCTCTTCTTGTCAATACGCAACTCAACAACTGAGCCATATCCCTTGAGAGGTCCGAAGAGGCAGAAAGCAGCTAATTACCAAGCATAACTGAATGAAAAACACACACACACACACATACACACAAAAGCAAAATCCAATGTAACTTTTCAGAGCATTTTAGGGCCCAGTAATTCGTGAGGGTCACTTTTAGAAATCAAGACGCTAATCCCACCAAGAAATAGCACATACACACAAATGTACCCTTTTCAATCTGCTATGTTAAAAACAATCAAATAAACAAAAAACCATCCTAGTTCTTGTCGAGCTGATTCCGTCTCATGGTGACCCCACATGTGCACAATACAGCTGTATTCCACAGAGTTTCCAAGGCCGTGACCTTTCGGAAGCAGATTGCCGGGATTTCTTCTGAGTCACCTATGGGTGGGTTTGAACCGCCAATCTTTCGGCTAGTAGTCAAGTGCTTCACTGTTGCACCTCCCAGGGCCTCCAAGAAGCTATACACACCTACTCCTCACTTACCGACTATCTCATTACTCAGCATCTCCCATTTGTAACAGTAGTAAAAAACAAACGAAAAACAGTATTATCTGGCTTTTTGCACATTTAGGTGGGCATGGCAGCAACGGCCGTGGAGTGTCCCCTCAAGGTTGAGGAGGGTCTCTGTGCAGCCTCCAGGAAGCCAGGCCTCACTGCCCTGCACCCTCTGTGTCCAGTTGCCATGCGGAGCTGGCCTCCTCCGTGGCCAGGCTGGAGGCGCAGACGCACCAAACCAGTAGGTGCCTGCTCTGGGTTCTCAGCTCCTACAAGGCCTGAGGCCCTGCAGCTCAAAACTGCTGTGGGGTTGGAAGGAAGGAAAGAAACAGACATAGGAGGTGGTGGCTGGAAGAAATGCCTGTGAGTCTAATGATGTCCCTAGTGAGACCAACTGGGCCTGAAGCCTCCACCTCAGTGGGGCTGGGTGTGTGGCCAGGCTCCCAGCGCCCTCATAGGAAGCCCAAGTCTCTGTGACTCTCCAGGCCCAGAGGGCAGAGCAGGCTCCTGGGGAGTGGAGCCTACAGGGGGCTGGTCAAAGGAAGTTCTGACCCAGTACAGGAGGGAGGAGAAGTGGTTAAGCCCTGGGCCCTCCAGTCACACAGCCCAGTTTTATCCAGCTGCGTCTGTCTCCCCCAGGCCTCCTTCTCCAGACAGGAATAACCCCTAACTGGACTTGTCGCGGGGTGCTGGTGGCCCAGTGGTTAACAGCTCGGCGGCTCACCAAAAGGTTCCCAGTTTGCATCCACCAGCTGCTCCCTGGAAACACTACGGGGCAGTTCTGCTCTGTCCTATAGAGTTGCTATGAGTCGGAATCAACTCGACAGCAATGTGTTTGGTTTGGTTTTTGGTTTTGGACGCGTCACAGTGACGAGCACATCAATAAATCTTAGCTGTTACTATTTCTATGATCATATTTTCTAAATAAAAAAAAAAAAAAAAAGAGACAAATGGATGGTCAGAAAACAGGAAAGAAAATCCTCTATTTTCGAATAACGACCTGGTCTTTGGAACCCTAACCGTGTCGATAAGTGAGGAGTGGGTGTAGTCTTATTCAAATGAAAGCTCTGGCTGCCCATCACAATGCAGCGTGTGTGTATGTTTAGAGAATGTAACTATAGTCTAAGAACTGACATGGGGGAATGGTCCATTTGTAGGCACATGTTCTACTTTGCCCTGAGTGAAGACGTAAGATGGGAAAAGAAGAGGTTGGGATGGTGATCTAGGCTTTGGCGGGGCGAGTAATCTTTGCAGCTGATTTTATCTACACAGCACACTGGTGTGTGCTGGTCACCCTCTTCTGCCCCGACAGGAAGAAAGGGCACACACTCCCTGCCCTTACAAGCGGAAAACTGGTTTTCCACAGGGGTCAGGAAGTGGAGCCAGCCAGGATATCAGGACTAAGGATGTTTCCTACCAGCCTCCCTTCTTAACAACAGTTTTGATTGTCCTCTCCTCTTTTCTGCTCCTTCTGAGGACGGGCAATAAGGCTTGAGACGTGGGGGTGCCCGGCCACCTCTGAAAAGCCTTCTTGTACTTCTGCACGGACGGCACCCCCAGTGCGAACACCGGGGGGGGGGGGCTGTATCTTTCTGCCAATGAACTTTTGGGGGAAAATAGCAAGTGTTCTAAATTTAGAGCCTGCTCCAGGCGCCTGAGAATGAGAGACTTTGGAGAGTTCTGTTGTGGTTTACGGAGGAAGCGGTGGCTGGGGTGCGTGGGGTGGGGTCCACTCTTACCTTCCACAGCAGCTCGCACTCTCGCTCCTCCAGGGCCTTCTTGTGCCGAGCGGTCACAGCTTTGACCTCCGACTGCACCACCTTGGCCTTTATCTCCACCTGCTCTGCCACTGCCTGCGCCTGCTCGATGCTCAGCTGAAAAAACCAAGAACAAGGTCAGAGGAAATGTGGACACCTGCTTTTAGCAGACGCGGACAGCGACCGTCCTGGGCCCCCAGACCACCTGATCCACTTCCTTGGAAAGACAGCAGGCACTCAGGGAAAGACTGGCACCTGTTTGATTCATAACTGAAGGAGCTGTTGGCAGGCGCTGGATTTCTCTGTGAGAAACGGCACCTCCAGAGCAAACGTCAGGATTAAGAGATACTCTGACAAAGTAAAACCAGTGTAGCTGGGTCTCAGCCGAAAACCAGGAATGAGGATTGGATGTGAAATGTACAACTCCAGACATATGAGCAACTTCCTGCAGACTTTCCAGCCCAACTCCCGGCCTGGGGAAAACCCAGCATGTCCAGGACATGAGAGCGTACCACAGGTTCCCTGCTAGAGGGTATCTGTCCCGTCGTGGTCAAGGCATGAGCAACACAGCTCATCCCAGCTAGAAGCAACACAAGTGCATGCAGGGAATCATCTCAGCCACCTAAGAAACCATGCCACACACCCTACCCTGTACCACCACCCCTAGTAAATCAGCTGGTTTAATCAGACATATTATTGTTCATAAAAAATTAATCCAGACACAAGGCCTGGTGGTTTTCATTAATATTATATGGCATGTCTCGAACAGCCACAAGGATCTCTCTGAGATACTGAGCTATTAAATCAGGGGTTCCTGCTGCGGATGCTGCAACAGGTTCTACAGCAGATGACCCAGGTCAGGTGGGGCCTTGGGACACGAGGGCTGGAAGCCAAGTGGTAGGGTGACTAGCCCTCTGGTTTACCCTGGACAGAGGTGTTCCCGTGACACGGAACTTTCAGTGTTCACATCGTGACAGGACAGGCCTGGGAAAGCCGGGATGGTAGGCCATCCCAGGAGATGGGTGATTCAAGTTCCAACCCTGGCTCCCTCTCCTATTAGCTGTGAGGCCTTGGACAAGTTCTAAGGCCTCTCCAACGCTGCCGAAGGGCAAATGTGAGGAAAACGCACAGCGATACATGGAAAGCTGTGGACACAGAGCAGAACACTGTGTTCTAGTGCTCAGTGGACAAACACCTGGAAAGACAGCCCAACTACCCTTTCCTCTCAGCCACTTAGCTCTCAGCACACAAGACCAGTCACAGAATGAGGCCTACTAATGATTCCTGTCTTTACATTTTAAAAAAACTGTGGTAAAATACAGAGAACATAAAATGTACCATTGGTGATATTCACAATGTTGCTTAACCATCACCATTATCCGGTTCCAGGACATTGTCATTATCCCAAAGGAAACCCCGTACCTATTAACTCCCTATAGCACATTCTCCCAAGGCCGTAGCAACCAACAATCTACTTTCCGTCTCTATGGATTTGCCTGTTCTGAAAATTACATATGAAGAATCACACAGTGTGCGGCCAGCCTTATTTTTATGAATACTCTTTGTGTCAAACAGTTTGACTCTTCGGTCACTTACCATCCGGGCCCCTATTTTCCACCTTGAAGAGGGTCAACACTCACAGTATGCAAGCCGCACCCATGTGCATTTCTAGTCGGCTCAGCTCCTTAAGCTCTCCGTGCCACAATTTCCTCACTAGTAACTAGGGTTAATGATACTAGTACTAGCTGCTGCCAAGTTGACTCCGACTCATGATGACCCCATGTGTCTCTGAGTAGAATTGTGCTCCACAGGGTTTTCAGTAGCTGTTCTCCCCCTGCCCCATGGAAGCAGACCACCAAGCCTTTCTTCCAAGGCACCTCTGGGTAGCCTCGAACCTCCAACCTTTCAGTTAGCAGCCAGGTGTGTTACTGTTTATACCACTCAAGTACTCCTGTACAACTACCCTCAAAGTACCCATGACCAACAGTTTACTGTGCTCTCTGCCCCAATCCCTGTGAAGCCTAAGGATCCACTGAGCTTCCCAGAGCTACCTGGGCTCATAGTCTAGAAGGCTCACAGGCTCACCACTGTCTAGAATCTTTCAAATTCACCTATTTCCCCCAAGAGTATGGCCTCTGGACACCCCTTTAGCTCAGTAATGAAGTCACTCCTGAGGTTCACCTGTCAGCCAAAGATTAGACAGGCCCATAAAACAAAACAAGACTAAAGGGGAACACCAGCCCACAGCAAGGACTAGAAGGCAGGAGGGGAGAGGAAAGCTGGTAATAGGGAACTCAAGGTTGAGAAAGAAGACTGTTGACGGGTCATGGGGTTGTTAACCAACGGCATACAACAATATGTGTACTAACTGTTTAATGAGAAACTACTTTGTTCTGTAAACCTTCATCTAAAGTACAATTAAAAACAAAATTCACCTATTTCAAAACCTAGCTCAGGTCACTTCCTTCCTGAAGCTAAAAGTGGCCGACACCTTGCCATGTTTCTGCTCTGTCTTTACAATTCTGTCCCCTGCCCCCCCACCCCGTGTCAATACACATCAAACAAAGTGGGAGCTAAGTCCATGCTACTCAGCCACCTGATTTGTAACAGAAACAATCTATACATTTCGTACTGTGCATGTCCCTGGCCCTAGGGAGCCAACAAACTGAAGCAGATTGATACATCTAAATTACCCAAAAGATAAAAAAAAAATTAGAATAACCAATCAAAGGTGTGAGCGTGCATATAAGCAAACCATCACAGGGCTGACAACTTTCGAATGTCTCAGGATTCATGCAGAAGAAGCGAAACCTCACTGGACATCCGGACGGGGAGAATTTAACGCGTGGAACCCGTTGCATGAGAGCTGGGGGGGCAAAGGGACACTGATGAGAACATAGACGGTAACTGCAGGAAGCAATGACGAGCCTTTAGGCTGGGGGAACAAAGGGAAACAGTTGTGACAACCCAGAAGTACAGACGAAGGGCCGTGCCCAGCTAATTCTGGCGGTGGCAAAAGCTGGACATTGGAACCACCATCTGCAGCCAGGGTGAAGCGAGGCTGCTGATAACAACAGGAAGCAAAAAGGAAGAAGCAAGTTCCTTCTTCCGATTTCCAGGCGTGTGGCTGGAAGATTCGCAGCCCCAGCCATCACAAGGCAAGAGCGTGCACAGGCCGATTAGAGCCGAGACAGTCGAGCTCAGTAACCGAGACACCTAGTTTTCACCTAGGTTCACTGTGAGTTAGCACAGAGCTGCTGTCTGAGTCAATATCGGACCTGGACAACCAAGCCTGTGTCTGCAATGTTTCTTACCGCTGTCTCAACAGAAAAGCAGAAGTTGCAGCAAACAGATGTATTTATAACAATGCTGCGTCACTTGCCAGCTGGCTTTTACGTAAAAATCAGAAAACGTGGAAATAGCAGACCCACATTCCTGTGGGGTAAGGACAGGCTGGAGAGGGCATGGAGAGCCCCCCCTGCAGAGAGGGTGGGTTCGCCTTCTGTCCCCTGGCCGGGCTTGCTGGCTCCTGTTTCCTGCTAGGCCCCTGAAGGCCTTGTGTTTGAAACTCCTGTTCTATGATAAGAACTGCCTGTTTCTCCCACTTTTCAAACAGGTAGAAGGAATGCAAAGCTCTTATGGTAATTTGAGTCATCACCCAGCATGCAAGGATAACATCGTTCCTTGGGTTGAGAGTCATAAAGGCTGGGTGTATAGAGGGCAACATAGGTCTCCCCTCAAACTGTACACACCCCAATCAAGCACTGCATTCCAAGATGTGCAGACTGGGTCCTGCTGAACTTGTTCCCAATCTCCTATAACGGGACATTTGAAGGAGACACAAGGCAGATGGGTTGGGGATTTCCAACTTCCAAAACAGAAATGCACGCTGCCCGTAAGAAAAGAGAATCACCCAACAAGCATGGGACTAGAGAGAAAATGTTACCATCTCTTAGATGTTAACAGATTTTATCAAACATGGGAAAGTGAAGGGTCTCAGTCTGGGCTGGTGAAACAGCCAACGCATGCTAACTGCTGAGTGGTGGCTATTAGTCAGTGAAGGGGAGGAGTCTAAGGCCAAATCTAGGTCTCCTGGGAAAAAGTGCAGGCATCCATTAGTGATGTCTGTTGTGCACAGCAGTGCTGGCATGATGACCACTGCGTAATCAGAGGGTAATAAAGACTGCAGATACCACCCACAAACTTGTAGGCTACCATACTGTTTATGGGAACTACGGTAATTCACTCTAAAATGTAATTTTTATCACATTTAACATCTTTGAAACTAGGATTCAGACTACAATTCTCGCTGAGTATTTTTTGTTAGTTGTACATAAAGTAAATGTGTACTTTATGACCAACGGCATCTTAAATGTGATGACATACAGTAATTAAAGCACCAGGGCTGTCTGAAGTGGACAGGAATTATTTCTGAGCCTCATTACTGACATCCCCAGGGATTTGTGCACATCAAGAAATCCTACATGAATGGCCAAAATGTACTTCCAAGAAGAGAGTCAAAGCAATGGAATACTCTACAAAGCAACGGTCACTTCTAGGGCACCCAGGAGAGCCCCAAAGACATCTTCTGTGCTTTTTGTTGTGGGCGATTCTGTACCTTCCCCAGGTGTGAGTTCTTTTTACAGGAAGATCTAGAATTAATTCAGGGATTTACTTCTGGGTGTCTTTTCTAGACCTAAGACTCTCAAGTTAAAAACAAGACCAAGTGTGAGTCTCCCAGAGTCGTTAACTTAGGAACCTGATAGTCAATTGTACACATGATGCTTGCAGTTAATACTAGATAAAATCCAAATGTTCACGGGAGAAACGTACACTTTATGTATATATTTTCTCCATCCAGAAATGATTTATGGGAAGCTTACACCAAGCACACAAACCAATGTTGAAATTAAGTGGATGAGAACAGCGAGACTGGACGTGTCCGAAATGACACAACCTCAGTAGGGAGGTTAATACACAAACTGGCTGCTGTACAGGGTGGCTTCTTTGTTGCAGGAGAGGAACCAGTATAAATCTCAAGCCTTCTGGCACCAACACAAGTACAGCAACTTGAGCAGTGGAGTGATTCGGGGTCCAGAAGAGCCTGGAAAGAGGCA